CCACTTTCGTATAGTTTCTCATAATCCGCTGAAAGAACGGAAGATAAATCAACAGCTTTATTCATTTCGTTTTCAAGCGTTCACAGTGCGGTCGTAGAATAAGTAGTTATTATCCCTATTCTTTTAGTCAGAAAGTCTGTCCCACAAGCTCTGCGTCTGACAATCTGCCTTTTTCGTATTAGTATGCTGATCTACTGTTGATTTAAGAAAAATGCTCCGTCCCTTCGTCTATAGTGCATACAAGAGATTGTAGAGTAGAGGAAGAATAGACAAGGACAATAATTAAAAAAAGTAAAATACGTGATATGGAAATTCTAAAATAAATGCTAAAAGATACGATCTAATACCATAATATCGTTCAAGTTGGCATATTTCTGACATACCTGACTGGTAATTACTGTTAAATTACTCTGAATCAAAAAGGTCCTACTATATCTTCAATATCACTTGCAATCAATGCCTGTTATTGCACTTCGATGGCCCTACATTAGTGAAAACAACAAAGAATGGTTATACGATTACAAAGCCCAAGCCACACTGATGATGTTTATGAATAACTAACCTTCAAAGGCTCATCATACTGTGATTCAGTTCTATCCCATACGTGAGTGATTTTATCTGACCCTCCAAATATTACGCACTATGATTTATTGTTGAATCCAATCGCTTTGACATCCGGATATTCCTATAATATAGCCAAAACGAAAGAAAACATGGTGTTAGTTAAAGCATACATAGCACTTTTCAATCCAGCCTAATTCCTTACCGAACCCTTATCAATTTGCAAAGTATCTTCTCAGCAATTGATCATGAATTCTTTTGCCCTACACCTAATATCGAGCGGATTTCAGCCTTAAAAAGCTCAAAAACATAAAAACCTAACCTACCCTTTTCCATTTTTTTCGTTTTCTGATAATCTCAAAGTTAAAAACTTACTGTCGTGACTCCATCACTCCTGCACGGCTGGAAGGAACAAACGAAGAGAGTTCAAAGCCATATAATTGTTCAGGTGGAGAAGTATTGCCGGTCGGTTTAGCTGTAGTTGAAGAGGAACCAAGTCCCATACTTTTACTTCTAGCAAGGCGTCGGCCAAGAGAAAGCTCATGCTTGCGATTGTGTGTGCAATCTCTAATGTACAGTATGTAATCTTGTTTCATGAATACGTTTTTCACTAATGTGCACGCGTGTGTTTTGAAGTTGCCTTTGTTGGTTATAATTTTCCGTCATGTAAAGTCATGTCAGTACAGCCAACTTTTACAGTAATTACTGAATTATGAATTAAACGAATCTGAAAAAGAAGTTTTCCTTGAATACTTCTATGCCACCACCACATTAAGCATACAAAGATTATGGTTTTTTCTTGAGGGGTACTGAGAGTAGAACATGAACACATAACAATACATTACCCCAAGCAATTAATACATTCTCAACATAGTATGCTTATAAAGAGGTTTTTTATATGATGTGCTTATAGAGGAGAGGGGGATGACTGTACTAGTTTGCAAGAAAGCCTAAAGGTTGTCTGGTTTCTCATGATACACTATGTGAATATGTAAACCCTAGCAGTTATGGATATGATGTAAGCAAATGAACATATCAGAGATAAATTATACAGCATTAATATTATTGCTCTTATAAATTTAATTGCATAAAATTGATAAATTGTGAAACAACTCAGAATTAAATCAAAGTTTTGAAACTAGAAACACCTCCCAATCAGCCCATTCAAACTTGTCAGATGA